TGAAAATCTGAAATAGCACAAAGTTTCCTGTAAGGGGTAGGTTTAGGGGTAGGGTTGGTGTAGGGCAATAGAATATACGGTCTGTACAGTATAAAAACCATTACGCCTATGGGATGTCCCCACTTTTCACAATTGTGTGTGTGTCTGTGTGTGTGTGTGTGTGTGTGTGTGTGTGTGTTTGTTTGTGTGTGTGTGTGTGTATGTGTGTGTTGACTGACCTGCTTTGGCAGTGTAGCAGTTGGTCTCGGAGGCAGCGCAGGACACTTGGGAACTGAATAAACATTTGCCTAGAATGCCCACTTTACAGGAATTACACGTCAGGGCTTCACCTGGAGAAACACAGAACGACAACAGGAAAATAAATTAGCATTCTTGTAAACTTCTGGACATCCCCCAAAAGGTCTGGGTAATCCTGATTGAGTAATTCAGTAACCGCATATAGAAATGATAAAGAAATGTAATAGACGTCATTTCAATATCTTCAAACAGAACAGCACAGCATGATCAGAATGTCACTATGTTGATGCTGTGTTTACTAAAATCTGAATACAACTGGACTGTTGTGAGTCTGATAATCAAAGTGTCAAGCTGGTCCAATGTGGGTAACCTGGTCCAATATTTCCCACCCTCTATCACAAGCATTTTTCTGATGCTTCAACAATATCTACTTTATTTCTTTTACTGTAATTGTAATGAATTAAAAACACTTCAAGAAAAAAATTAGATTAGGGAACACATATGTTTCCCTCAGTGTGTTTTCCCTCAGTAAACTCTTAATTACTGGTTATTGATAGTGAATAATGTAGTTGTCGTAGTAGTTATAGTAGTCAACCCTATTTGTAGTAGGGTTAAGTCATCTAAAATATGGTCATGCAGAGTAAGACATTAATATGTGCTTAATGTGTATAAGTACTAATAATCAGCTAATATGCCTGCTTATAAACAACTACTTAAGTGAATAGTGTCTAGACATCTAAAGTGTCACAAAAAATCCATGTTTAATGGTGTGTTTTAAGTCAGAAACATTACAGTAAAACTCTTCCTTAATAACCTTAACAATGTTTTTTTTTAATTTGATGTAACAGATCCTCTTTTTGCTCTTACAAATACACTTAAAACACACTGAAAAAATAATTGCCATCATTACAACAATGTCCTCAAACAAATGCCAGCCATGTATATTGTACTATATTCAGCTGAAAATTCAGCTTAGCCATCGTAGGAATAAATGACATTTTAAAATATATTCAAATATAAAGTTATTGTAAATAATAGCAATAGTTTTCAGCGTTATGTCTTTTATTGTATTTTAATCAAGAAAATGCAGCCTGGTGAGCAGAAGATGCTTCTTTAAAAGCATTAAAGAATCTGAATTATGTCATTAATTAAGGGGAGGGGATGAAAAAGGATCTAATTCTCTGTAGACTTACTGAGAGTGAGGAATCCAATCGCTGCAATGACTCCAAGCACAATTCTGATCATCATGTTGATGACGCGTTCAGCAGAACTGAATTCTGACAGCAGAGAAACTCTTTGGAGGACAGCAAGCACACTGGATGCTGGTCCGAATCTGTCCAGATATATGGCCGTGATAGAGAGGGCGGGGTTTTTTTGACAAGAGGGGAGACAATGAATATGTGCAAGTGGAAAGATGCATATGAATGTGAAGAATGAACAGAGCAATCTGGTTTGGGGAGTTAAGAGATACCTGATTATTGACACACACAAAGATGCGT